CTATGGAAGGAGGGCATCTGATCCCCATAGATGTTGAAGCAAACTCAACTTTACAGCCAAAAAAACTTTGTTTCTCCAAAGAAAAGTCAGAATCCCAACCAAAATATCAAATATTAATGGTATTATTTATGAAAGTATCTTTTATGCTTTCATGAATAATTGCTAACTTTAGGCACACTCTCCTCCTCAAAATAACAAAACAGAAAAATTGTTCTTTGTGGGAAATAAAGTCAGTTAGCAAAAGCAGCATGAAAAAATGGGAGTAGCAAAGTTGCGTTTAGGGATGTGTGGAAACTGACTGGCGATATTGACATGTCTGTAAATTCTTGCATGTGTCTTCACAAGCAAAAACTCTGCTCGGATGAAACCCCCTACAGCCGTTTGCCCTGTCAGAAAAGCACATCTGGCAATCATCTGTAAATACCAATGTCTAAAGCTACGATCTTTATTACGCAGTCATATTTCAGTAAATGAGCTTATGTGTCATGAAGCAGGACAGAAGGACCCAGAATTCAGGTGAGACAGACAGTGGTTACTTAAAAGGGATTTATTTGAACAGACATAGAGCTGTGGATCTGCAGTAGGGCGGGGCACCGTGCATCAAAGGAAACTCTGGTTTATCAGTTCAGTCCATCTCCATAGAATGAGGTAGGATCCAGCTGGGAGGCTGCTAAGGAGATGAGGCTCTGCCCAGAGTGTCCCAGATGCTGCAACCCCTGAAAACAAGCAGGAGTCCAAGACAGATCAGAACAGGAAGGCTCAGAGATCCAGGAGTCCAAAGCCCAGTCAGGGATACCGATGAGAACAGGGACAGGCTGGTTCAGCGTTCCAGGTGTCCACAGATAATTCAGGCAGAACGTTCAGACAGGAACAGGCAAGCTCAGTGGTAGAGAGGCAGAACAGGACAGGATATTAGGAACACTACGGTACACTAAGATTCACTCCCTCCACCTAGACCAGACAGGAACAGGGCACATTTAGTGAATAGGAGATAGAACAGGATAAAGAAAACAGTAACTCTACAAAAAAAAAACAAAAAAAACTCTCTCATCACTGGCCCCTGAGAACAACAACATGAACTATGGCATCTGCAATGATTTCCCACTCAAACTGAATGAGCTGGGCCCGATAGCTGGACTAAGCCATCTATAAAGAAGCAGGAGCAGGTGGATTAGATGAGTTGTAATTGGAAACAGAGTTAAGCAGGTAAAAGAAATAAGCAATTATGTCAGCTCTCAGAGCTATGATCATTACATTATGATTTAGAATAATAAAAGTAGTGCATTAATTGGAGCTGTTTCTCATTATAAATATCAATTGAAATGAAGATAACCTAATGTTTTGTGCATTTTTTTTAGTCATTTAAGCTGACTTAATTTGTGCCAGTTTCCAAGAAGTACAATGGTAGGACAATATCAAGGGATAAACAAATCTTACACATATCCAGAGATATGTAATTGAACCAACTAACTGCATAGGTCAGGGGTCTGCAGCCTGTGACCCCTGAGCCTCTGGTGGCTTTTTGAGCAAACAAAGGTTTATCACTTCAGATATAATAAGCAATGGGGATTTTCACAGTCCTTTTTGTTTTTTATTGAACAATTATTTTATTATACAACAGAATGACACGTAAAGTACAAGAAATAATTGTTAGGTTTATCTTTCTTTTAAGACGGGGCTGCCTTTTAAAGCTGCTTTTTGTATCTCTGCTGCTGTCTCCTTAAACCCCAGTCGGCCTCGGCAGATGGCCGCTCACACTGAGCCTGGTTCTGTTGTAGGTTTCTTCCTGCTAAAAGGGAGTTTTTCCTCTACATTGTCGCTACAAGCATGCTTAGTGTGTGGGATTGCCTTTGAGTCAATGAGTCAATGCAATCAACTGGTTTTCCTTAGATAGAAAACTTTAAATCAATTTGACTGTATGATCTTGCTGAACTGTAAAGTGCCTTGAGATGACATGTGTTGTGAATTAGCGCTATATAAATAAACTGAATATAAACTGATTTGAATTAATTAGACTGGACACTATGTGCTTTATGTTCTCATCATTTTCCAAAATTTACATCACATTAGAAATATAATTTGTCCTTTCTCTGAAAGAGTTTTATTTTTATTTATTTTTTACAAAAACAAAAAACAAAGAATAGGAATAAAATGTTGGCTGTTTAAAAGTTTCTATATTTCTAATTTTCTCTGGCTGACATTTGTCAGTAATTAGAAATTGTCCTTTTTCATGTGATCATGTAACATTTGTAGCTCTAGGTATATATTTTTTAGTTCGACTCATGCCCAAAGTGTGTCGTTGGTCTCTAAAGGTCCCAAATCACCAGTTAAGGCAGATTCATATTCAAAGTTAATTGTGGTTGTAAACACTTCAGTCAAATTTTGTCTTATACCAGTTGTCTATACCAACTGGTAGGGCCTTTCTGTCACATGGCCCATTGAATTAAGCCCTTAACTGTTCAGTTTCTTATGAAACATGTGGCATCAGTAGATGGTTAGTTTGATTGTGACAGCCTCTTCTGTCACCCATCACCCCTCGTCTCATATGTGCATATCATTTGCAAAGCAAAAATAAACAACATCAGTTTGTGGACGAACATGTCTAGTAAAGAAATAAGTAACTCATAACTTTATAATGCTGTCAATTCAATGCAGTTTATTTATATAGTGCCACTTAAAACTCTTCATCTTAAGGCACTTTACAGAGATAATACAGTCAGATTGGTTAAAAGCTTCTATAAGGAAAAAACAGTTGATTGCATCCAGTCAAATTTAGCAACTGATCGCACTGCAGGTGAGTTGATCACTCACTCTCTCTACGTCCAATTGTTCTGTTTGCACAAGCCATGCAGTGCTCATTAATTGGGCTCCTAGATCAGGGTCTATTCATTTAGTGCCACCCTTTGAATAGAAGTGTCTGCCACTATCTGCACACATGGTCCAAAAAATTTCAGCTGGTCCCAGAGTCCTGGTAGAATGCAAGGGGCAGCTTTGAAATAATAACATTTACTTCAACTAAGCTTTGTGGTGTAAAAAACAGTAGAACAAATCCATAGACATTAATTAAGCTTAGATTTTGTTGGGGGGAAATGGAAATATATGGCTTGTGGGAAAACACAGAATGTGGTTGGCAAAACTGTTAAGTGTTAAGAATTGAGGTTAATCAGAGACCATTTTACAAAGCCTATACGGTATACCTGTACCATATCCTAGGTACTCCATATTCATATTTAATGAACCTCACAATTTGCTCTGTAGTCTTTGTCACACTGATAAATGTGTTAAAATCACAATGATGTCCCCTGGGGTGTTATTGTGTCTAAAAATGGCAAATATAATTATCAGCTAACTATATTCCATAACTTAGCTTATCACAGTAGGGGGTGGGTGGGGATGGATCCCCACCCAATGATAATGAGAAAGTTATTTATGTAGAAATAGGGGGGAGTGTGTTTATGGCAGGTGTGTGTGTGTACTTGTTTATGTTACCTATTTAAGATCGTTTTTGGTATATTTACTAACCTTCTGAGGACCAACAGGCATTATGGGGACAAAAAGCTGGTCCTAATGTGATTGGCCCCCATTTTTAGCCTTTGTCATTTTTAGAGGTGGTTTTGATGTGTGAATTAGTTTTAGGTTAAGGTTAAGAATATACTGATAATGGCTGGGGTAAACTGATTGATTGATTGACTTTATTGGTCACACAGTAGAGAAATTTACTTGTTAAATCAGCTCAAATAGTCAAAGGAGAAGAAGAATGTGCCAAAGGAAGAAAATGGGATATATACAGTGCATCCACATATGACAGCTTTTTTTTTTCTTCTTTTTTTTTTTTATTTATAGTAGGATTATTATACAGGGTTGTTGCACATGGTGTTTACATGGGTATTTATATAGATGGATATGTATATTTATATATATATATATATATTTATTGCATAGGGTATCAAATAGTAATTGCACATTATACATTATTGCTGTTGTAGTGTTACAGTCTGCTTGCAGCAGGGATGCATGACCTGCTGTAGTGCTCCTTTTGTCAGGGTTACGCATAAATGCAGTAACTAAAATGACTGTAAGTCAATGTAAAGTCTTAATATGGATAGATGCTGATGAAATGGTGAATCCCGGGCAAACAGGGCAGGGTCACAGGAAAAGAATTTTCAGCACAACCCATTCTGACCCCCTGGTCCCATCCTGCCCACATATCAGGAATCAGCAGGCTGCTTCAGCCTCTTCTTATCAGGATGAAGCTGATTCCCAATGTTTTTCAATGGGCTGTTTTCCTTCACAGCTGTTAATTCCCAGAGAGTCAGATCTTTCCATTTTTAGTCTTTGTTCAGAGCTCATTGGAAACTCAGTCGAACTCTTCTACTGAGACCTCCCTTAACTTCTCTTTTTGGCTCGTTGTCAGTCGGACAGACAGGCATGATGCAGCCCTGTCTCCACCCTCTTGTTTCCTCTGCCATTGTAACCACTTTCCAGTTTTTTTTTTTTTGTTTTCTTTTCCACCATCTGGACACTGTTTCTTCTCAGCGGTGAAATGCTCATATCACTTTGCAGCAAAACATGCTCTTCTGTTTCTTGGATTAAATGCCAATCACCAGCTGATCTACAATCTGAAATCTTTAAAGGAAGAATATCCAGAAAGGGCTAGGCATTAGTTTGGATGCTGAAGGCGGCTTCTGTTTCTTTGTGATAAAAAGGCTGAGGCTATTTTAACAGCTGGCAAGCTTTCACCTGTTCTCAAGCTTTTCCTTTGGCTGCAGGCACTTTTTTTCTAACTTTGTTAAAATAAACTGCTAAGCTTTTCTTTTAAAATACCATTGACAGATCCATTTTAATTTATATTTTAAATTATAATCATGAATTGATTTATGTTTGATATCATTCATGTCTTTTTGTTACTTTTATGTGATTTATGTTTTCCTATGACATTTCAGTTGTTCCCTGTCTTTTTATTTGTTCCATAAATCACACGTTTTATCCTTTATTTTCAGTTGATTTTATTGGTGGATTTGATCCATTCCCACTCTACCATGTCAATGAAAAATCATCCCATCTCCTGTTAAAGCCCATGCAGCTGTGAGTATCTCACCCAGAGTAAATTGTTACAACATCCACAACCTAACTGTGGTTGTGGGATGAAATTCATGCCAATAATTACATTTTCTTCAAGGTATTATTAAAAAAAAATGTATTTTTGTTATTTTTATTACAAATACATCTTGGGACATTTAAATAATATGAAATATAATTGTAATAATTCATTTCAAGAAGTTAAATATGTTTATATTAGACACTCCAAGCAAAGTGGGGGCAGCGGTTTAAAAAACATGAAAAACCGAAAATGCAATTTCTGAGAAAACGTCACAGAGAAGACAGACACAAAATGCATTTTTAACTTAAAGATGCTATTTTACAGCCTTCTCAGTCACAGAGAAAATTTCTGACCACTCGTTTTTCTGCATACAGTCACAGAAACCTTCCCCATAAAGGTTAAAGCCCCAAGGCTCTTTGCTAAAGAAACTGGCTGCTGTGAGTGCTGCAAACATGCATGTTAATTAGAAGTTTAGTTAAGGCTGCACAATAAATTCTAAATATATTGCTATCGCTATTTTGGTTTGTGTAATATGATTTTACAGAGAGCTATTTGAAGCACTATAATTATTGGATACTGTTCTCCAAGGGGCTGATCTTCAGAGGGTTTGTGCATATTGAAACAGGTGCAAAGGCTTTCGTACACGCAGAGCACATCTTCCAAGAAAAGTGATTTTCCGTTTTCATTTCAGCAGTGTGTTTTATTTTTAGCATGATTGACTTAATATGCGGATAAAATTCCAATTAACAAACTGCACAAATTCATGGGTGGGTGATATACAATTGTAAATTACATGTACAGTATTTACCACATGATATTGAACTGTGATAGCAGTGATTTGCACCTACTTTAGTCAGTAGTCTAGTTGTAAAAATAAAAGGGGGGGATGGTGGAATTTTTGTTTTTGGAAGCATACATAGCCTGATTAATATAGTCTATTAACCTAATGCAATATGCATGGAATTGTTACATGTCAGGTATGCCGGTCATTGACTTTAACCAAGGCACCTTACAGTAGAACTGCAGTTAGTCCTTGGGCTGGCATGGCTATCACTGCCCCTACAGAGTTAGGGACTAATGCAGAGGACAAATTTCCCACTGGGATCAGCTTCATAGTCATGGTAGGCCACAAACATTTTTATTTATTTTGCTCAGGCTACTTGTAAGCCCACAGCCCGCCAACTGTTGAAAGGGCAATATTATTGCCATTACTGTTAATATATAGTAGAAAGGATGGCAGACGATCTTTACATGATCAAACCAAAATAAAAAACAAAAAACAGAACTTAAATATTGCGGCATGTTTAAAAAAAAAATAAAATCAAAATAGAATATCAAAACAGCCTGCAAAGAAACATTGGGAGCTCATCTCATACCTGTCGTAAGAGGGATATAGTTTATTTCATAATAAATAACAGTAAACTAGCCTTTGTTATTTTTTTATTAAATTCTTGAGGGCCTACTTTGTTTTACATTGTGTCTAGGTGCCTTTGGAGAGGATATGATTGAAATTAGTAAAAATGTTTAGAGCATAATCTGCTCTTATTTCAGTCAGCAGACAAAATACTTTACCATGTTATATGGTATCTTATCCTTTTTTATATTAAACTTCTGTTATTTTCATCCTTTAGTTGTTTTATTTGTTGCACTACAATATGGGCTACCTATTTAAAGTGTTCTATAAATATTATTTGGTGTTATCATAATTTTTTTTTTTTAATAATTAGCATTATAACCTCCATCTCTATAACTTTGAACCTCATCTGTCTTTTATGACCACCTTCAACTGCCTGTAGAAGATTCAATCGGTTTATTTTAATGGCTGGAACCAAATCTGTTCATATGTGCCAACAACAGAAATCTTTGTATATCACCTGCAACAAGCCGCCTTTTTGTACATGCTAAAAAAAAAAAAAAAAAAATCCATGTGCCGTTTAGCTGCTCTTGTTTGATTTTTTTTTAAAGATCAGGCCCCTAGAGCTGAGCAAGTTGGACAGAGTTAAATTGGACACAGATAACATTGGTAAAAGTGAAAGTCATGTTTATTGATATTTTACCAATAACAGTTTTTTCATGACCACAGTATCATCAGGCATGATTTGCTGGTAAAGTCAGTTTTTTGTAAGACAAGAGACACAAAAACAGGTGCAGATGACCTGAAGCCAGCTATAAAAGTAACCTGGGCTTCCTTATTACCTCAGAAGAGCCGATCAACTCCATGCTGCATTGCTGCTGTTAAAGAAGCCCAGACCTAGTCCTGAGTGTGTGTACATACTTGGAGATACGTTTATCTACATTGCTGCATTTTCTTTTTTTTAACTGATAAACCAAATTACTGGGATTTTTTTTTCATTAGCTGTTTGCAATAATCCTAAAAATCTACAGAAATAAATACAGTGAAATTTATGACTCTGTTGTTAATGAGTTTATTTGATTTTGTAAAATGTAATGTGTATTACTGGCATGGATTTACTTCTTAATTATAGGTAAATTAATTAAGATACAGCTGTAAATTGAATGTTACCCGTCACACTCATCTCAGTCTTTTGCTTAAGTAATAAATTTAACCTTCAGGCCGAGACATGCTACATCCTGTCATAATACTTTATAGAGGGGCGTCGAATGGCACACTTGTGTCTGATTGAGGGTATGTGGGGCTGTGTGTGTCCACGCCACAAGCATATTAAAAATACACACATTTCTGTCCAAAAATTGGATTAATCAATTAAAATGTGCAAAGAAGTTAATGACAATAAGCCACAGAACTCATGTAGTAATTCTCAGCCAACATGAAATGAATATTTAATGAGCTTCCTGACAGTTTAATCAACTCCGTCTCTAATGGGTGGGAGGACATTTCCCTCTCCCCAATCTACAGGGAGTTATATTCTGAATAAATTCATCTAGCGGTGGTTTTGTGTGTGTCTGTTGGAGAGCTAAGAAGTGCTAATCCTCTTTTCTCTCTCTTCCATGTTTCTTGCTTTTCCAGGTCTACGTAAGTAGGAGAGGCATCCAACGAGGGAGGTGATACAGCAAATTCCCATGGATCCAAAATGGCTGATTTCACACACATTTCCCTCAGCTCCTCAGAGCACCAGACCTCTCCCTTTGGGTTTCAGAACTTTAACGTGTCATTTACTGGTGTGTGGCCCTGAACATTCAGTTTCACAATTAGAGTCCATTGTTATAGAATTTGGATATTACCTTTGGTGGTTTTGTGTTTATATAGGCGTATCATTTCGTTTTCTTTCTGTGACTTTAACTACGATCTAATTCCACTGTATAAAACATGTTTCAGCAGATAAATGCATTACATAGGTGATGATGGAGCACCCAGCATTTCCAGTATGTAGCTGTGTGTCATAGAGAACGGTGATTTAGCAGATTACTGCTGGTTTGGCTTAAATCCCTACAGTAGGGCTGAATTACGGTGGAGTCTGCAGAATGAACCATTGTGTTGCTGCCTGTTTACTTTAGAATCTGTATGCATAAATACAGAAGCAAAGCAGGAAGAGCCAAGGGAGTGGAAAAGTAAAGGCTGGGGGAGACAACAAAAGCACCAGTACAACAGGCGCATCTGCCAAAAATAGAAAATGTAAATAAGGAAATTTAAAGTTTCAAAGGACTGGAAAAGAGCCTTAGCTTTGCAAAGAGGTGCTCGAACACAATGAACGGCATGCAAGTGTTTTACGTCTGAAGTATTTTATTAAAAAACTGTTTTCCCGAGTCAGTATTTCTGAAGTGTCAGGTATGTTTGCCAAAGAGCTGAAAGCTTTTGTTCTGTCTTCAACTCTTCTCCTCTAACAGCAGACACAGTTCTGGGAAAAGAGATCATTACAAACACTCCTTCAGCAGTTGCAATGCATATTTCTAACTTAAAGCAAACAAAAGAGATTTTCATGCCTTTTCATATTGCAGACAATGGAGTTGAAGCTGTTGGGCTGGAAGCTATGTGTGGAAAAAACAAACATCTCTACCTGAACAGATCAGTTTCATCGCCTGTCAGCTTGAAACTTATCTTCTCCTTGTAGGCGGTAAAAGCTTGAGCTGTGATTGAGTGTAGTAATTATCAAAGTTTGCACTGTAATGATCTAATTACAGCTAACTGAAGCACATGAACCTTTAACTAAAACCTGCTGACTCATGTCACCCTCACACTCTCATGTCTTATATTCTGAAAAAGCTTCATTTTAAGTTTTTACTAACAAAACTGAACTCACATGATTGCAACTGACTTAAGCACCTTTATAAATGTGTTACAACATATCCACCAGATTATCCACTAGTCATGTATTGCCTTACTGTTAAGTGAATCACCACTGCCCTCTGGTGTTCAAATGGCTCATGTACAAAGTGCAATGCTACACATTTACTCCAAGAATCTTTGTATGTTTCTGTCTGGATAAGAGAAAATAGTGAATTTAAAAGGGAGAAGAGCTTAAAGGATGTGTTTTCCCTGTGAATATAACATTCCACTCCACATGACTTCAGTTGGACACTGGATATAAACTTGGAGTTATTTCTACTTTTCATGCATATCTGAATAAAGAATTATAGCCCCTTGCAAGGGGCATTAATAAGCATTCAACTTTTTCACATTTTGTCACATTACAACCATAACATTCAGTTAATTTTAACACCCTGGACCAACACAAAATCTTGCATCATTTAATGGATTTTTAAAAATGAAAGTTTGTAAAGTTGGATGTATAGTCATAGTACCCACCTGTTGCACCAAATGCAGTTGCAAATCTCTACCAGCTTTGCACATCTAAAAACTTGGAGTACTTAGTGTAGTTTTGGTCTGAATTGTCCCTCTGTCACTCTAAGACATGAATATGATTTAATCTTAACAGTTTAAGTATTGCTTTAAGTTGAAGTTTGCCGAAATGTCTTTTACAGCTTTAAGCGGATTTTCTTCATGGATTTCCCTACATTTAGTTTAATCTGTCTTCTATTTAAACTCTGATCAGCTTTCCTTACTGTGCTCAGAAGAAAAATCCTCAAAACCTAATTTTCTACATCATATGTCATGGCAGGGGTAAAATACAGATAATTTCTCTACAATGTAGCATGTAGCAAACTTCAGCACCATTCAGGTATCCATTACAGACTTACAATTTTCATTTGTGACACGTTTTTTTATCCCAAAACACCATTTGTGGTTGTGATGTGAGAAAGTATGACAAAGTTCAAAGGAGTCTGAAATGGTTTTGCAGGGTTTTGCAAGGTTTGGAACCTTGGCTGCTGTTTATTTTCTTTAAAGGTTTTCTGTTATGCCAGCAGCAACATCTATTTAGCATCTGATTCCTCTGTGATATTAAGAGTTCCTCACTGCCAGACAAACAGAATGTAAACTGTTAGGATACCGAAAGATATCCCAACACTTCTGTTGGCGGAATTCTGTCTGATGAGAATAAGCTGTTTGGTTTTGCAATAATTGAAAGCTGATTCCTCTACATTAAAATGCACTCATTGTTAGCACAATGGGCGAGAAAAAAGCAAAGCATCAACATTGTAGCATAATAAGTCTTAGTGGTCAAATTCTTCTAATATATTAAAACTAGTCTTCCTCTCGGTGCAATATAGACTTTTCCCAAGTCTTGATTGTTGTCATGTTTCTTTTGCGCTGGTCCGAACTGAAAATGCATCCATCTCTTTTTAGATTTTACCTTGTATTTAAGGAGTAAAAGATTATGTTCCCCTGGATTCTGTCATCTGTTTCTCCCAGCTGATGTGACCTGATTGTGTAACCTTGTTTATCCAGAATTGTGCTTTTTGTTTATGTAAATATAATAAGTGTTTGATAATGATAATAAAAAAACATGCTCTTTTACAAGTATTGCGATTTATTCACAAATGTCATGATGGCAGAACCCAAGTGAAACCTGAAAAACTTCTTTGTTTAACATTATAAAAGCAGCACTCATAAGTTCCACAGACGTTGCAGGCAGTGGAAGTTTAAAGGGAAATCTGTCAAGCACCCATGTAGAGTCAATGCTTTAACTATAGCCTCAAGACATAAAAGCACGAACGCTGCCTCTGATGACAGCCCTGCAGATGGGGCAGTGCCGCAGGCTGGCAGCACAGTCACCACACACCACCAGGTGACCGCAGGGGATGAAGACGATGGATACAAGTTTGTCCATGCAGACTTTGCAGGTCCTCTCTTCCTGCAGCTGCCTAAGTAGCTCCTCAGGATTTTGATCCTTTATTGCTGAAAAATACAAATAAATAAAGCAAAAATTTTCAAGGTAAAATCTGCAAGTAAAAGCTAGTCGCTGCAACACAGGCATGATTTTTTTTCCACAAATTATGTAATAATTTCTAGATAAAAAGATTTTACAAGCACGCTGACCTCTCTTTGGGATGGGAGTCTCAGTCCTCACAGTTTCTGCGCTTGATCCATGACTCGTGTTTGGCTCTGTTACCCAGATAATGTTAGACAGAAGGTAAAGTTTAGATGTGTAAAAATGAATTGAAACACAGTTTGTTTTTAGCTCAGAGGGAGGAGGCTGTACTTATTTTTTGCCATTAAATTTAGGAAAAATACTCCCAGAAATAGTAAAAATAAATCTATTGATTTGATAATAGGACATATAGACATAAAATTTTATCAAAGTCCTCAAATGTCCTCTTATTTTCAAGAAAAATAGCTGAAAGATGCCAAATCAAATGTGATAGATTTTATTCCTACTGCCACAGCTTGGTGTAAAATCTGATCTCTGCTTTCCTTTCCCTGTGAGGTCATTCATTCATTGTCTAGTGAGTCATTGTCCGCCTTGCCTGCTCTGCTTTTTGATGGTTTATTTGAACATGTAGAATAATGCTTAGATCAGATTTCTTCAGAAACCTCGGTTTGTACGTCTGAGTGGAAGTGCAGTGGGAATTTTAAGATGTATTTTGTATTTGATTTGTGCTTCTAAGAGGAATATGATGAATAACTAATTATAAGGAAAAGTTTGAAGATGTCTGATACTGTCTGCTTTAGTTCCCTTCCACTTGGTGGAAGTTAAGGTTGTTTTTTATATGAATCAAAATATATCTTTCCATTATGCCCTCACAATTAATGTTGCTTATAAAATATTTGTAAGCATTTTAGTCAGAAAGCTTTTTGTGCATTTTTTTTTACATATTAGTTAACCATGTAGTTTATATTTGCAGCTTTCAAACATCTCAGAGAAACTGATAGAATTCTACCTTAACTGTTTTGACTCTTCGTAAAATGCATCCCTGCTATAAACACCTATAATACAACACAATAGAACATTCCAGTTTTCCATTGATAAAAGTGGCATCTTTAACAGGATTGGAGATCAAGTCAACTTTCCAGACTATTCGCAGAAGTGACATTTTATGTAGCTGTATCTAATTTTCATCTGGCTAAATATTTACAACATTTTCACAAGTATTAGACCTGATGTCATGGGTAACAGTCAGAATTTCTATTAAACAATCAGCGAAACTGTTGACATTTTATTTTAATTTTGCAAGGGGATCAGAGCTTTTTGTAAAACCTTATGGTGGAAGAAAAAATAATATGACTCCCTTAGTTAAAATAATATTTAGTAAATACAGAGGGAAATGTAGCGTAGAAATAAGCAGAAATAAATCACTCGTATCAATATGGACAAATCATTATAAGGGCAAGGTGCTGTAAATTTTAACTGTTTTTTTTTTTCAATTTCTGTTACCTTGATTGTTTTGCCCTGTCTGCCTCTCCTCCTCTTCTGCTTGCAGAACATCACTAACCAGCTCTGACACTGAGATGTAATGCTGGCCTGTCAGCAGGTACTTAGTCTGCACCAGACTCTCCACCACGCTGGCTTCAAACCCCATCTGCAACACAGTTTGCACAACGGGAGAGAGCATGGCTGATGAAGCTCCCAGACCTCCGACCAGATCTGAAGGATAAGGCAGAAGGAGAAGAGAGGAAGATTACTAAAAAACCAGCAGCTGAATATCATGCTGGTTTTACATGTGTCCTGAGACCACACACAGTACCATCTCAAATAAAAGCCAGAGAGAAAAACAGAAAACATGCAGCTTGATATATTGCCATGCAGCTTGTATGGCAATATATCAAACATTTTCATCTGCAGACCTCTTCTGTTTGCCTACAGAAAATTTGATTGCAATCGATCTTCCTGCATTTTATGTAATAACAACCCTGTTATAATAGCTGTGTAACTACAAACGGCTAAACACCCTCTAAGGCATCAAGAAGCAGCTGCATTCCTGAAAAAGAAATTAGCTCAGACAATCAGATATCAGATGTGAGCTGCTGCATTTCTTAGTGGGTTTGATTGCATTATAAATGTAAAGGTTTTAGTCTCTGATAGGGTAAAGATTTAACTCCATGTAGAGCAATCAATTTTATTCCAAAAAAATTGCTAACAGGCAAATTTGGGGTTTACACGAGCGATCATGTAATAAATGCTGTCAGACATCAAATTTGAAATGTTAACCCCTTTATATAACCAAGGACTTTAAAGCTTTTGTGAAAGAGATGTTAGTACTTTATATCTGGAATTGGAGAGCAGGGTTATTATTCTGTTACTTGTCTAACTGTTGATCTGTTTTTGTACAATTTTCAAACTTTTATGTCTTACCATTTCTGGCACCAATGTCTCTGCGTGTGGTCGTCTGGGAGCCGCCCTTAAAATAAGGTTTTCATTTTTAATTTTCAATATTAAAAAAATATTTAAATCCATAAATAAACTGGCAGTAATGTATTCAGTACATGGATCTACAGTAGCAGCCATTCAAAACGGCCCTTCCCAGTCAAATGCCAGCTGAATGGCAGCCCACTTCCCTGCATCTACCCCTCCAACTTCCAGCCACTGGATTGATGGGCCAGCATGATTTTTACTCTGACTCCACCTTTTCACTAAATTACAGGGTCTGACCAGGAGATTATGCTTCTCTTTAAATGTTAATGTCAACAAATTTTGACGGAAAGAGTATTTTAGATGGATTTTTTTATGTCAAATATTTATAATTGTAGGGGACCAGCCGAGGACCTATCAAGGACAGTGGGGAATTTTTGAATGGCTACTACTATAATGCTTCAAGTAATCCCTAGTTTTACTCCTTAATCATAAAAATAACAGGACTCTTACCACAGTGTCTCCCATATGGAAATGAGCATCCTGGATGTTGTTAATGTACTCCTGTCCTCGTGACTGGATCAAAAACTCACATCTGAGGAACATGGAACAGACCACTTTTAAGAAGGACAACACAAAGACAGTGGATGGTAGTTTGCTAAACCACCAAGCGATGCGGAATTTTCAAGCAGAAGAACAAATTATTAGAATTTTATATTCCTAACAGACTAAAAACCTTGAAGAGTGGCATTCATTTGAATTTATTCCCTTATTTGGGATACTCCTAAATAATGGTAAATGTATCAAAATATAGCAATCCACCTTGATGTAAGGCTGAGCAGGAAACGGATTAATCACAAATGAAACCAAAAGCTACATATTAACTATAGAGAGGCTTCAGAGAGAAGATTCTAATTACCGTATGTGAAACGTTTTGGTTGCTCACTCTACAGATCCAGACTTGAGATATGTGGATAGAGGTTCACCTCCAAGCAAGAAAGTGACCCTAAACATACACTCAGGTCAAACAATTATTTAGATTAAAGCATTATGCAAACCAGCTCCATGAACTAAATGTTGATTTAATATCCATGTCTGGACTCATTTCCTCAAATTCTTATGAGTCTAGCGGCTTCGAATTTATCAGTAGCACTTAAACTTTTTGGTCTTTCAAGTTTATTATAAAAAGCCATTTTTTGTTTAGCTGATCATTTCTCATGTCCTTGTGACAGCCCTGTTGTTACCTTGGGAACCATTTGGCATGTTCCTGCCAGGGGTCGTCTCCTGGTTCCCAATTCCTCAGCCCTCCATCACAGAAGAAGCATTTCACATTGTCACCATGACCTGACATTCAAAAATAAAAATCTTTAGAAATAGTTTGATGGCAAACACAGACTGAACTTTGAAGCTTGATACACAGACCTCTAACAGTGTCTGGTGTGTCAAAACAATAATAAAAAAGGCAGCTTGTTTCAGAAGGTTTAAAAATAAATCTCAAAGACAAGCTGCTGTATTTAATATCAAGATTAAAAAAAGAAGCATTAATCTTCAGGCCCTGCTTTTCTAAGACAGAAGTAAAAAAACTGTTTGGTGGGGATGTTGGAAATGTTTTTTAAGACTATTTTATAAATTTTAAGCCACACTGCAGATTGACTGGCAGCTGCTGCTTTGTCCAGAGTTTTTTGTTCACAACATCCTGACTCAGCAGCAACAATCATAGGATGAACTCGCACATAGAAGAGGTCACTGCAGCAGCGGACATCTAGTGAAACATTCTAGTGGATGCTCAGGTTTGATCTAGAAACTGCTAAAGGGAGTATCTTTTTAGTAATTAAATATTTTAGTTCCTCTGGTAGCGCATTAACAGCAAGTACCTGTGTAGAAAAACCCTGCATGAGCCAAAACATCTGGCTGCACCAAGGCTTCAGAGGGCCAGTTGTGGAAAGTGGTGAGTCGAGAGTCTTCTGCTTCCAGCTCTGGATATACTGCTTGTCCAGTTGTTCCCTGATCATCCATAGTCAGCCTCTGGAGCTGACTCAACAGCTGTCCATCCACAGAGTCTGATGAGCCTGTTTCCAGTGGAATATTACCCACAACTTGACCCAGTATGAAGCTGCATGTAGGAAAATGACGCTTATGCTCAACCACTGGATTGTCCCCCTGTTCCCAGTATCTTAAAATGCCTCCACAGCAGAAACACTGGACTTTGTCGCCAGAACCCAGAAAGAAGAATCCTGCCTTTGCCAGTTCTCCAGAAGCAACAGGCGCATCCGAAGGCCAGTTCTGGAAGGTACAAAGTCTCTCCACTTCCCCCCGCATCCGAGGCTCCTCAAGGATGCGCAGCATAGTACTTCTGTCATCCGTCATTCTGCAGAATATGGGCTTTCCTGTCTGTTTTTGTCCTGTGCCAATCAGCCCTTTCGTGGTCCATAGTGGGACAAACACTGCAGGTAAGAGCAGAACAACAGCTGAAATAATGCCGCAGCGACAGGGTGCTGCGCTGTGGCCTACAGGAGATTCATTTCCAGAAAATCCTCCAACTGCCAGGATGTATGCCCATTGATCCTTGATTGAATGTACATGTCCTGCCTCTTCACATCCTGGGGAAGAAAACCTGAATCATAGCAATTTTTTAGATTATGGATAAAACCAAGTTCTGTAAAATGCTATACTTCACATTTCAATGATGCTGTTTGTTCACTTATGTTTTCTAAAATCCCTTCTAAGACCTTCACAGAAAGGCTTAGAATAAATTTCACAAAGATGGACCAAACTTGTTACATTCTGAAGGCAGCTGGTCGCACTGCTTTTTATTTAAACATATCAGAGGAAAAAATAAATAGACATTGGCTGTTGTAATTAGACATATGTTAAAAAGAAAAAAACATTTTATAGCAGGAGGTTTCAACGTCACTCTTCAAGAGCTATTGTCAGTACTTAATAGATGCACACCTGCTCCAGCAGAGCTTAATCAAATGAGTGGCTTATTATTTCCAGGCCTTTGTCAAAACTGATTTCACTCTGGAACATAATTAATTATTTGATTAAGCAGTGTTGGAGCAGCGTAGTACCTAACAGTTGAAGGGCATTAGCTCTCCAGGACTGGGGTGGGAGAAAAACATTAAACCTTCACACTGATCAAGTTTAAAACATTAGAACTGCAAATCCTCTGTCCTAACAGGGAACACTGACAAGTATAGACAGAATACAGTTAGTGAAAGATGGGAAAATAATGTTGACTTATTTAAAAATGAGAAAAAGTAGCCTATTATTCACCTACAGCGGCTAAAATGTGCATTAAATAAGTAAAACTCAAACAAGGATCTCATGGATCTAAACAACATAGTTTTAGATTTAGATAACTTTTCACCACCTGATTGTTTTCACTTGACGTTCAACATGACTTGAGGATCACTCACCCTTTCAACTGACTACCCTTACAACCAGTGCTTCAAATGATTTTCAGATTTGCAGTTATCCATTTCACTGATTTGTATTCTTTTCTTTTTAAATCTAGCTTCTCAAAAGTTGCATGCAGGCTGGATTGTAAGCCTGTGTGGTTTGGCTGATGATCACTGTGGCCTTATTGTACCCAACTACCCAATTCTCACATGAGCTTAAGGCTGAGCTGAAGTTTCTGATGCAAAAGGCACTGAAGAAAGCCACAGACAGTCTGCTGACATCTCCTGTCCTTGTTTACACCCAAGGATACTGCAGGGAAAGCTATTTAAAAAACACACTTTGTAACACAGGCAACCCACTGCTCCCCAAGGGGATGGGTTAAATGCAGGGGTGAATTGCTCCAGTGTGAAATCGATAAAATTCTATTGTTATTATTATTATAAAAAGCATTTTTAAAACAGATATATAACAGAAAATGTTGTCCTTGTGTTCTACGGTAGATGTAATTCAATCAGAACTATATTTGCATGAATGCACGACAACAAGAAGGAATCTGCCATAAAGTTAAGAAAGTCTTGGTTTATTTAGCGTCCACCTTCAGCTTGTCTTCATATTAACAAACCTCCATAGAGTCTCTGTGTAGTGTGTGTCAGACGTTTTTATCCATTGCAGTGACACCATGGCTGCTGAGACAGGTATCTGTATCTTTGGAAGCATGGACAGGTGCCAAGTCCAATTGGAAAATGAAATCTGCATTTCCATAAACCCTGTCAGAAAGCATAAGGTGATGTAAAATATAAGGTAAAAGCCTTGATAAAAGATGCTGGGCCAGAACAAGAAGAAGATCGCATCATTTAACAGATCATCAGTGATAATGAAAACATGTCACTGGATTTAAAGCAGCTTTGATTTGGTCTTTACACTTTTCCTTCAGACTCTGGAACCCTGATTTCTCATGAAAATATAACATTTACAGTTTTTGCCCCTTTTTTTGCATGCAATAGTGGGCATCATTGTTGAAGCCATGACTCTGGCTGCTGTTCATCCACTGTGAATCTGTCCCGCCTCTTACATGGGCTTTGCTTCACAGTCTGTATATGTGAACCTTTCCTACTAATTCATTTTTCTATTTTCCCTTAAAGTCTCATTAATATTGGTTGGATACAGCATTCTGCCAGCTTATTTAGCAATGATCTTTGGTGCCTTAACCTTCTTGCTGAGAATATCAATACCTGTCTGGTGTACAGGCGTAAAATCAGCCATCTCTGCAATATTTGTACGGACTATGAAATGATGTTTTCAGGTTTTTTCACTTTTCCCTTAAGATGTGTAGATCGCTCATAACAAATTAAAGTGTTATGTGTTGACAAAAAATGTTTTATATAAATAATATTCTAATTTAATGATAAAATGGTTTTTGAGTTTTCATCAGTAATTATAAGAATAAGCAGAGTTAAATACTCAAAATATGCCAGTCTTAGTGTTATAGCCTAGAAATAACGATGATAACTTGATTTTTTGCAATGTACAGAAGAAAATTAGGGCCACTGAAAAAATTAAAAAAGTGAACTGATTTTTAATTTGATTTCAGTATAATATGAGAAAAAATAAGAGAAAAAAATATAAAAAATTCTGACATTTTTCTCAGAATTCTGACTTTAATCTCAGAATTCTGACTTAATCTCAGAATTCTGACTTATTTTTCTCAAAATTCTCACTTTTTTCTCAGAATTCTGAATTTTAATCTCAACATTCTGACTGAATTCTGACAGCTAACAAACATGTTAGCATCAAGCCATGTCTGTTTTAGAGACTAAAATTAGCTTCTTGTTTTAATCACCTTCTACTCTTTCCGTTAGTGAAATAGCATAACCGGGGACCCCTCTGGCACATAAAAAGTCGCCTAATTCCGTCATTTTCCTACACTGGCCCTCTCAAACAACTGACATCTTTGTCAATGAAGCTTAGTGCTCCCACATTTCTTCCTTTATGGTGCCCATCTACATAAAGATCCAAAATTCTGAGATTAAAGTCAGAATTCCTAGAAAGAAAAGTTAGAATTCTGAGATTAAAGCAAGAATTCTGAGAAGGAAAAGTCAGAATTCTCAGAATTCTGACTTTTTTCCCCATATTAAACTAAAATAATATTTAAAATTCAGTCAATTTTTTATTTTTATTTTTTATGTGGCCCTAATTCTCTTCCGTAAAGATGAACCTGAATCATTTGGATCATGAGATGCTGTAACTTCTGCCACCCACCGGCGAGGAAATGAACTACACCGGTAGCTCAGAGCCCGGATGGAGCAGCCATTGGGGAAGTGTGCGGGGCTTTAACGTAACCGAGGAGGACTCTCTCTGTGGAATAAAAAAAAAGAGACTAAGTAAAAGCCGAACGGAGACGTACATTTACAAAGATCCACCGGGAGCCACACGGTGATACGCACTTAAGCTCGGAAAAAACTAAACTCGGATCGGAAACCTTTGGGATACACAATCCGTCTGACTTGAACTGTGGAAGTTGGGAGAATACTCAGCTGAGCCTGCGCTACAACTACTAGCCATAAGCTAAGCGGCGCTGTTAGCCCCGAAGCTAACTCAAACTGAGCTGTGAACTTGCTTCCAAATCACGGGGGTTGAAATTTAGTCACAGGCTCGGGCTCCGTGAGAAATCCAGGGACTTGCTTAATGAATTATGTCTACCACAAGCATTGACCCTCAGGTATGAAGGACGACTTATCTCGCCAGTTTAGAGCTAGAAAGCTAACTACCTGCTAACGTTATCGATTTATTAGGCTACGGCTATTGCTCGCAAGTGCTAGCTAGCCATTAGCGTTGGCATGTAGCTAGCGAGTTGGCTGCATTCCGTAAAAAAATGATGAAGGCTTTTATTCACGTTTAAAGGAGATGACATCTATCATTTTCTGTGAAGCACTTTGTCAAATTTAACAGAAGTTGTCTGCTTTGTAAAGCAAATAGCTGTGAAAAATTGTATATTTTTATGTGGTCAGAACCTAAAGCTAGTTAACGTAAACAGATTTACATAATAGCACAAGGTAACTTGCTCTTTGAACAGTAACTTTGAGTGGGATGTGTTGATGTTTCCTTTCTGTGTGGGATATTATACAATTTATTGCAGAAAACATCTAGCATGTTGCTGAAACCTCTTTAGAGTGTGAAAAGCTATTTAAAGGATGCTTTGATATAGAAGTTGTCACTGAAGTATAGCTAGCAGTGGTAGGCTTGTTCACATTACGTGTTTAGAGAATTGTACAAGATTTGAACTGACAAAGGCAATCTTTTTTTCAATTGTATGGCTAATTTTAAGAATATTATGAATTGTGTTTTATAGAAAGTTTCCATTAGATATTTAAGAAGGAAATGTTACCAAATGGAAAGCCATAATTACTAAAAATGTATTTTTTTTGGTTTTGTTTTTCTGGACCAATCTGGATGCAGAGACCAAAGGGACAAGTGTCTAAAGGTAAGAAATGAAGGGAATATTTCAGCATCAGGATTTATCTTTTTTTTTCACTCACGGATGGAAAGAAGTATTTATATAAAAGTACAAAGTTAGTGAAGAAATATGTTTTAAGTCAGGATCGTAGTGGCATTGAATGACAAAAGACTTTATTCAGAAAACCCCCCAAAAATTTCATAAATGGCAAGTTTACCTATGTTTACCTTAATTTCTATATAAATGATGGATGGGTTGTCATTCAAAATAACATAAAAAAATGAGTTCCTTCATTTCTAAAAAAAAAAGTAATAATAATAAAAGAAATCATGTGATATTTAATATATCTATGCAGTTATACAGCAGTGAAAATTTTGTAAATATTTTACATTTTTTTTAAAGATATTATAAACTGAAGGACTCTGTTTTCAATTTTGTATTTTTCTTGCACAAACAAGTGTCTGATTTTGATTCACTAACACTTTTTTTGTTTTTTATTTTTTAATCAAAGTCCACATTGCCTTTTCCCCATGCATTTTTAGGATATCATCTTCTGCAACATTTCAGTATTAATGTGTCCAGCTGAAGCACAGGAAAAAAAAAAATCTGGTTATCTATGGCTTATCTCTTTAAATGCCATTTTTGATTGATAATGTGTTTCTCTTCATTTCACAATGTTGAAATATTTTGAAATGTATCCTTTTTTATCTTTTGTCAAAGGGTAACACTTTAGACTCTCAGATTTTGTATCCAGGCCTGCAACTAACAATAAGATTAGATTCAACTTTATTTTCATTACACAGGTACAGGTACAAGGCAACAAAATGCAGTTTAGGTCTAACCAGAAGTGCAATAGCAGCAAGTGCAGGATAAATAATGGTTCCATAAGTACAGGACATGGGTTTCTACTGAATAAATATAGAGATGAATGCCATTATAAACAGAATTTTACTGATAGATTTTTCCTATGAATATAATATATAGATAACTAGTGTTATGAACAAAATTTACAGCTGGATATGTACCGAATATAATATACAGGTGGATATTACTATAAATAGGGTTTTTACAGATATCTACAATAGCATAACATACAGATGGTTGTTATTATAACAGAGTTTGCAGGTGAATATGTACTATGAATATTGTACAGATGGCTATTACTATATGCAGAATTATGAGCATTATTATTTTGCAAATTGATTAATCCGTCTATTTTTTCGATTAATTGATTAATAATTGGATAGCAAAAGGTTCCCCAAATAACTCATTTTATGAAATCAAACCAAGTGAAACTACAACTTTTCCACTTGAGAAGTTCAGGATAGAGAAAACGTTTTTTTAATCTTAAAAGCAAAATGTTTACATATTTTATTTTGGTGTAATCCCTGCTGTAAGTGGGTTGCTCTGTCAGCTAAAGACAGGTTTTAGAATCTCTATACTCCAATTAACAATTAATCAATTACTAAATTAGTTGACTATTATTTCAATAAGCGATTAATCAGGTTGTTTCAGCCCTCTTTATATCAATAATATGGTAAAAAATATTCTTCTGATGGAATCATTCTTGATTAATTTTGCTTTTAATATACATCTGTATATTTTTGCTTTTGCAAAAGTAATTACACTACTGATTTTGTAAAACAATTGGTTAAATTTATTTTTTATGAAAAATGACTCATTCTGCCATATTATCAATTTATTCTGTATACATGTAAATAAAATAAAGTAATATGTTTTAGCTGGTTATGTGATGTTTTTATTTTATATGCATAGAAACAAATAAAATAATCTGAATGTGCTGCCTGCTTTGTTAGTGACTAGGGCTGAAAGATTTTACCCCCCAAAAATTACCATTATTTTAAACCAATATTACTATTGGGGCTTTATTTTCATTTTCCTTACCGCAGTCATGTAAATGTTTTAATGCAGGGTTTAGGATTTTTCATGACCTTGGAGGCTTGCTGTTCCAGAGTCTATTTTTGCAGGACTTTAGTGTAACCTGTGTGAAAAGGTGCCACCTTCCACTTGCAGGCATGAATCTCAAGCTAACTGCTTCTCTTTCTTCTCATCTGTTTGGTTGCAAACCCACTTTAAACATATTACCGCCACCTAAAGGGCTGGAATAAAAAAAAAATATAGCTACTTACTCTTGTTAAATGTAATGACCAAAACTAAGTGTGCCTGTATCTTGAAAACTGCGTTTTGTTAAATTGCAATTATATTGCAAATGCAGTTAATTTACCCAACCCTATTGGTTACACAGGATGTTTTAATAATCTGTACAGCTGTCATTGCAAACCTTTAAAACAGCATTCTCTTGTCATAAACTCAAATGTGCTTCTTGTCGTATGCTTTATTGCTGCAGTGCAAAATGGTTCGCTGCATCAGAAGGAGACTGTCCATGACAATGACTTTGAGCCATACCTTCCTGGTCAATCTACTCAGGTAAATTGACTATTCAATGTTAACCTTTTTTGATTGTTTTAAGAATCGGCTATCATCAAGTAACTATGTACTTCTACTCATCAAGTGCGTTCTGCTCTTAATAACTACCCAAAACAATAATTTTGTATGAATAACAAAACTTAGAGATGCCATGCTATGTTTAACTGGATTCATCTGTTTGAATTGAGCTCTTATACCAACTATTGTCGTTTCTTCCTTATTTCAGAACAACAGCTACCAGTCCATCACCGATCCCTACATGTCTAGCTACTATGCTCCCTCCATTGGATTTCCTTACCCGCTGAGTGAGGCTCCTTGGTCCACAGGTGGAGACCCCCCGATTCCTTACCTCACTCCCTATGGACCTCTGAGCAATGGAGACCATCACTTCATGCCGGACACCGTGTTCGGCCAGCCAGGAGGACTGGGAAGCAGTATCTACCCCCACAGGTTTAACTTTTTTCCTGAAAACCCTGCTTTTTCTGCCTGGGGCACAAGTGGCTCCCAGGGCCAGCAGACTCAAAGTTCAGCTTATGGTGGCAGCTATAGCTATCCTCCCAGCTCCCTGGGGGGCACTCTGGTGCCTGATGGTCAGACAGGGTTTCACAGTGACACCCTGAACAAAGCTCCTGGTATGAACAGCCTAGAACAAGGGATGGTTGGTTTGAAGATTGGAGGGGATGTTACTGGTCAGGGGTCAGGAGTTAAGGCAGTGGGATCTGTGATCGGTGGACCTGCAGTGGCAGCCACAGGGAATGGAGCCACGCCTATAGGGATGCCTCCACCTAAACCCACCAGCTGGGCTGCCATTGCCAGCAAGCCTGCCAAACCTCAGCAGTTGAAATCAAAGGTGAAGCCAGGAATGCCCAATCCAGGGGGGGCTCTTCCCCCACCGCCCATTAAACACAACATGAATATCGGTACCTGGGACAAGGGCCCAGTCACTAAAGTAGCCCCAGCCGCACTGCAGCAGCAACAACAACCTCTAGGGCTGCCTCATGGCATGGCACCTCAAGGACCCATGCAGCAAGGACCCATGCAGCCCCCTCCCCAATCATTAGTGCAGCCCCAAATGCAGCCTATGGCCTTACAGCCTCCACACCACCAGCACCATCAGCCACCGCCTCAGCCCTACCAAAACCATACCCAGCCACCTCAACCCCAGACCCGCTGGATAGCGCCACGCAACCGTAACCAAGGCTACGGGCAGGGTGGGCTTGGCCAGGATGGGAGTGGCATGATGGGAGTTGTTGGTGGTGGGAACAACGGCCCCCAAACATCTGCGAGTCAGGGACCTGGTGGAGAATCCCACCCTGTGCTGGAAAAGCTGCGTGCCTCCCATAGCTACAACCCCAAGGACTTTGACTGGAACCTGAAGAATGGCCGTGTTTTCATTATAAAGAGCTACTCTGAGGATGATATTCATCGCTCCATCAAGTATTCCATCTGGTGCAGCACGGAGCATGGCAACAAGCGGCTGGACTCAGCCTTCCGTGCAATGAATGGTAAAGGCCCGGTGTACCTCCTGTTCAGTGTCAATGGCAGTGGTCATTTCTGTGGTGTGGCAGAAATGCGCTCGCCAGTGGACTACGGGACCAGCGCTGGCGTCTGGGCACAGGACAAGTGGAAGGGCAAGTTCGACGTGGACTGGTTGTTTGTTAAGGACGTGCCTAACAGCCAGCTGCGCCACATTCGTCTGGAGAACAACGATAACAAGCCGGTGACCAACTCCCGTGATACCCAGGAGGTTCCTCTGGAGAAGGCCAAGCAGGTGCTGAAAATCATCGCCACCTACAAACACACCACCTCCATTTTTGATGATTTTTCTCATTATGAGAAAAGGCAGGAAGAGGAAGAGGAGGTGCGCAAGGTGGGTACACCCATTTGTGTTTGAAGAAAATGTTTAAATGTTCACTGGAGGCTTCTAAGAAGCTGTTATTTTATCTATTCTTTCCCTTTGACAGACTTTTGAACCTGCTCAGATACAGAGCCGCTCTCGATTGGATCAGGTAAAAATCTTCTAAATATGTCCCAGGCCTTTTTTGCATCACAATATTGTTTAATATTCCCCTTAAAAATGTATAAGGAGACAAAAAAACCCCCCCCCAAAAAAACACTTTTTTTTAAATTTACATGTTGGCCTTTATATACTCTGCCTTGCCTTTTTTATACCCCTCAGATATTTCCAAGATTTTTCTTGTTACAACAGCCCTTAATGTATTTCATTGTGATTTTATGTGATAGAGGAACACACACAAGCGCTTGATCATAAAGCAACAACATTCTCCATAGCCTCTCCTGTATGTTTTTTTTTGTCCCTGCTCACAATCACATCACTGACTTACCTCCTTTTCTGCAGAGGTACAGTAGTCGATTGGAGTTATTGTTTGGCACCTAAAACTAGAGCTACAATCAAATGGTTGACTTCAAATCATATTCTTGTATTAAAATAAACCATTTAAAGTCTAGACTTAGTCTAAATTGAGGAAATATGTAGCAAGAACAGATTAGATTTCCAGTAACGTGTCCATTAAATCTCACTAAGCGGGGGCTATTTCGCAATAAGTATTGGTTAAGAAGTTCATCATCTAGATGTGTCAGCCAGGTATAGAGGTGTTAAATACACATGGCAGCAGGATTCGGCTCTGCAAAGTGTTGACTGGCTTAGTACAAATGCAGGCCACACTTCAAAACACAGAACTGCAGCCCTCGTCTACTCACCCTGGTTGTGCGTTCTCGTACTTAAGTTGTACTTTTTTCACCTTACCTGGAGTTGCCATTGTCTCTTAGTAGAGCTGGTTGCTTCTGAGTTTCCACAATATCCACCTTGATTATAAAGCCACGATTGCTTGCCATGTCACTGTTTGACATCACATCTGCAGGACTGCATGGCAACTTCCGACCCAAAGTAAATGCATGAAAATAGGCCACAGGTTTAAGCCGGGCATACACTGTACGATTTTTTGCCCCCTTCAGGTCAATTCTTCAGTCGTGTGAGATTTTTTTTTTTATTGGGCTGATTTTCAGCCTGATCGTGCGGTGCAGTGTACAGGGGGTACACTACACCACCGTTGTGAGGTGTTGGTGAACAAATCCTGATGTTGAAGCAGAGCTACCAGCCGACTTGCCAGAACCTCGAGCACTGCGCATGCGCAAACAAGGGAGTTCTTCTTCCAGATTGACGAGTCCGGCCAGCGCCATCTCTCTGTGCTGAGTCCGGATCGCATCAGAGCGTCGGGTCGCACAGTTGAGCTGTAAACTTTCAAAGCCTGCGGTTTCGTCGTACAGTTTGAGTTGTAGCTGCGTACTACAATTGAAAATATAGCACAGTGTATGCCCAGCTTTATAGATATCGGCACTGAACTACTGAGGTGTCAGTCTGCTCATCAAATGATGTTTAAGTTGTAAAGGGTCAAATAAAAAGACTATTTCAAAGACATTTTCAGTAAAAACCTGCATAATGTCTCTTTAACAGGATCAATTTTATTTAAAAAATACATAAAAAGATGAACTGTAAAAGAGGAAAGGGGGAAACAACCATGACTTGAGTAGCGCCTCCGTAAAGTCGGCAGAGTAATAGTGATCGCATCTACAGAACTGAGACAAGAGAATTTTACAGTGTCTCAATCCCCAAAAAAAGTAAAATCGAAACTCAGCAAACTGGACATGTTGAAGCTTCTCTGAAGGAATTGCTTAGAAACCTACAGTAATTGAACATCCACAATGAAATCTCACCAGCAATATCCTGAACCTTTTTATTTATGTTTTTAATTCAGAAACGCTGACAGGTTTTGTTTTTAAAGGTGAATGCAATATGTTTCAGTAGTTTTTAGAACATTTTGCTTTGACATCACTATTATGGAGCAGCACACATCTTTTAAACACAAAATCCAGAATTGAAATACATTAAGGTTTTTGGGCTGTAAGTTAACATAAGGATGAATAATTGAGGTGGAAGGTGTATTAATATTGTTGCAGAGTACTTTTAAGTACATTTTTAAGATACCCTAAATTCTACTATGGTAATGTTTGCAGTAACGTGTCTAACATATTTCTTTTTTATTTCCCAATAAACAGGAGCGCCAAAACAGGAATAAACAATAGAGGACATTTATCCCTGGCTTGATCATTTACATTAGGACTTGATTTAAAGACAGAAGAATATGAAATGCAACCAAGCCCCTCATTTCTATTTTCTATTTAATCCTGGTGAACTTTTTTTTTTTTTTTTGGTTATCAGTTTTATTTTTTTATTTTTATTTTTTTTGCCCTACCTACCACCAATACTTGTGCAACAATAAGCTGATTAAATGTTCCCTTGCAACCACCATGCTCTAATTTTTTAAAACATAATTTTTCTTCCTGTTCCATCGTGTTCTTTTTATTTTTTTCTTACCTGATGGGTTTTTCTCTCTTGCTCCCGCCCCCTCCCTCCTCTCTCCAAATGAATCAGGGTTTGACTGCCACTTTATATTTCAGTACAATCAGGAACAGATGTGTCATGCCCCTCCGTGTCCATTTGGGGGCAGCATTGCCATGCTTTATAGGTTTATCTGTGCCAACAGGGTTGAAGGATCCTACAGGCAATGTTGGACTTGGAACTGGGATAATAAAGCTTCAGTTGTTTAACTATTTTTCATTCAGATCAACAAAATCTCTATTTTTTGGCTTACTACTGACAATTTTCATTTCAGAAACTTTTTTCTGGAGCCTTACTTTGTTTTTAAATTATCAGTGACTTCTCAAAAGAACTGCTCAAACAGTGACACTGCTGGAGAAATCAGGGAAAGTGTGAAGTCACACAGGACTTAAGACATTTCTGAACAGGAAGGGCTTTTGGGGAAGAAACAACGAATATGTCCTTCACAACCAAAACTCTCACCATTTAAATCAAAAATTGTACTAATGACACTTTTACAGCCCTCCTTTTTTCTTTGTTTTTTCTTTTTATAAATTCTTTTTGATGTTTGTCCTCAAAGTGTCCTCTTTGTGTTTAACAACAGAATCTGCTTGTCTACAAAACCTAAGCAATTTGTCAAATCCCCCACCTTCAATTGCTTTGTTAGAATTACATAATGATGTAACTGCTCAGTTTAACTAATTGTTGCTCTCGTATTTTTGTTACACAAAGTAGGGGGAGGGAGGGTTTAAATATGTCCATTCACCGTCATTCTGTCTTAATCCTGTTTTTTTTTTTTTTCCTAAAATTTGGTTTTTGCTAATTCTTTCATGTTGGTCGTAATGCTAAGCTTTAGGAGTCTATAGGAGTCTATATATTCACGGAGAAAGCCTAAAAATGTATAACCTAAAAAATAATGTAACTGATTTACTATCAACTAAGAAAAAAATAAGAATGAAATGTGGTTTCTGTGTGATTTTTGGTTATTTCAAATATTTTTTTTAGTCTGGATCTACTGATCTTGATAAAGAAAGGTCTGAGCTATGAGAAAAGAAAAAAAAATCCTTGAGAAAACTACAATTATTAAGATGTGTGTGCCGATGCATGGCAAGCTGAAATACAGTAAGTCTGCTGAAGATATCTGAAGAGAATGTCCTCCATGTGGCTTGCCCCTGAAGGTGACAGTGCTGTTTACTAGTTTTAAAAAATAAAAAGGTATGGACCTCTTTTTACCCCTTCTTTAGCACATTCATAGTAAGAACACAGCATTTAAGAAAATCAAATTTCTTCCCTTTGATCATGTTGTGATGTAGGTGTTTTTGGCTTTCAAGGTTACCGTGGTGCGGAGCGAACAGATCTGCTGCTGCTTTTATTTGACAAACTCATTTTTGTCTTTTTTTCAATCTGATGTAGCCTCAAATGAACTAGAATCCCGCTTTAAAAATTCTATTGAAAAATGTTCTTTAATTATTCAAGATGAAATGAGTAATGTTGTCACCTGTGTTATTATTGTGGCCAGAAGTTTATGTTTGTGTTTTCAGGTTATAGTTGATGATGTATATTCTTTGATTTGTTTTGATTTTTTTTCACTTTGCCCTATTAACATTGAAATGGCCCGAGCAATGCACTTTACAGAAGTCTCTGGAGTATGAACTGTAAGCTTCAGAGAGGAAGTCAGTTTGTGACACCGCATTGTCTTCTTACTTGGCCAGTGTAATCACCCCTCATAGCCTGTAATCTTCGTTATAATTTTACTTGCACTAACTGATAGCTAGGTTGATCGAAGCAATATAGGAGACGTGCAAGTTCACCAACTGCACGTAGAATCGGGCAGAGGTGAGACGCTAAAGGATGTCACAGGAATGCTTTATTGCCTCTGAGGGTTGGTAGCTGGCTGGGATTAAAGTACAGAACTTACATGTACATTAAGGTTAATTGCAAGACATTTGATGTAAGGGGTTGTCTGGTCAGCCGCAGATGCCGGCACGGCTGAAGGATCCATTATATGAAACACTAAACCTCTGATTATCTAAAAAGCCACAGCTGTAGTGGACACAACTTGTTCAAAAGGATCCATCTTGGTTTTTCTTTGCAAAAGAAGTCAAGCCTTAATAAACTTAGTTTAGAAATCACTTTGTCTTGATCTCATGAGTCCTCTGTGAGTTCTTCAATAAATTCTTGGTGACCTTATCCAAATAAGACTATCCACAGGCCTGCCTTGGTACTGACATGTCACTAAAAGTTTTCCAGCTGGAAATAATTTATTTGTTGCCTGTTTATTAATCTCTGCTTTGCAATCCGTTGACGTATTTAGTCCTAACAAGTCATTAAACGAGCATTTATCATTGCTAAATACCAATTTTAAAATACTCCTTGTACAGGGAAGAGGAACTTACAATACATTCAGGGAAAGTCAATACATTCATTCCCTGAAATTTCCTGGGATTTCTGTTTTCTTAAATGTAGAAAACAGCTAAATTGGTGCTCTCCATGGTCCTGATTAAGAGAAAGTAGTCCATCTTCCTGTCACAAAGTAAAATTGTACAGACATAATGTGTTTGATCCTTTACATTTAGACCTAATCTACTGTCTTAGTTGTACTGTTTTAAGGTTAAGGTGAGGACACTGCTGCAAATAAATCAAGGTTATGCATCAACATGAACTCAGTGGTGCATGCTCATTTGTTTAAGAATGATGACAAGAAGAAACGTATCCCATTTCACTTTTTATTTTTTGACATATTACAAAACAATGTAACACGAAATGCTATAAAGAAATCCCAATCCACTTCACCTGGACCAAAAAGTCAATTTATCCTTTGTTGTTGATTCTAACGCTTTGAAATAAGTTTTTATTACTCAAAAGAACTAAACTACGAAAAAAAAAGAGGCTGTGAAAGGTTAATAAAGGGATTCACAATGTCAAAAATGCCATAAAGATTTTACACTGTTGTCTTGAGATCGGCTCAGAAACTATTTTATTGTATTTGTAATGTTGCTTTAACACTTCTGCCCAGCTCTACTATTAAATTATTTGTCTTTAAGAGATTCTTAAAAACCTAAATTTGATATTATTTTAGCATGCAGTGCACTTCTAGATTCTAACATTAATTATATTGGTTTTAAACCTCTGTGTGCTTTTAACCTATTAGTATGTATGCGAACAGTCTTCTGACTTAATAACCACATTATTTCTCAAAAGTAACAGATCTTTCCTTGTATTTTTTTGTGTTGCTGATCAGATTTGCTCTAATCATTTTGAAGACCCATGTTCATCATGTCCTTCAATGGTCTACATACAGAAATGCGTTGCAAGAGGAGCGCCTGTAGATGGCATTAAATCACTTATTGTGATGAATGTTGTCTTCTTCCAAATAAACACTGCAGCCGTTGTCAGTTTGCATCATTCATATAGTCTCTAATCTGCTACTGCTGGCCTGAGCTCATAGGCAGACTCACTGAGGGTGAAGGAATGAAGCGCACCCAACCCAAAGGGTGGGCTTATGAAAGACTGCAAAGCATTAAATCGGTTTCAGCATATCACTTAAATCACTAGATAAAATCACTCAAATATAAATTTGCCATTATATATATATGCTTGCTTTGTTTTATTACAATTTTCTATTTCAAATATGCGGTAAAATAAGAGCTATTTCATAAGTGCTCGTATCATCTGCTAACAAACTGTTTTTTGTTTCAAAAATAAACGATGCCTCTATAAACAACCATATTTAACTGAGTTTTAAATATCAGGCTAATTAAAACCTAATATAATCATCTGACCACACCTGAAGTTCAATTTGTTTTGGAAAACAATTGCCCCTAATCCAACAGCTTTTCACAAAAGCTGAAAATCACAATCAAAACACCTTTGGGAATAGACTTTATGTGCAAGATAAAGGTTGACCAAACTGATCCTTCATCAGGATTTCTTCCTTTTTTTTTTTTAATCTGCGCATTGCGTCCATCTAGCTCGAGCTGCACACACACACAAAAGCACACGAGCGCCTGGATCTGCACGCGCAGCTTCCTTTCCCGTGAGCGCAACCACGCGAACGGCTTTGATTGGCAGAGACAGGCCTGTTTCAGCGGCATGAAGGGTCAGCCAGCCTGCGGCCTAAGGGTAAACAAACAAACAAACAAAGATGTTTCCATAAATAAAAAAAAACAAAGGCGTGGAAAAGATGCTGTGTAGATTCCTCTCTTGGCATTCACCGCGTGCCTTAATTGTATGGACATTAAATCAAGGTCCGCTGTGAACACGCAGAGTGACAACCCCTTTGATGGGCGCAGAATGAAGCCCCATCTCAGACCCCGCTGACCCCCCCCCCCCCCCCCCTTTCATACATTTTTCCACCGACGAGGATGTCAGAGCAGCATGTAGGAGACTTAAAGAACACCTTCAGGTGCCGTCTGCGCGCTCTACTACAAGCTATACGCACACATGCGCACGAAACTAAAGCCGATTTACAGTGCATCCATGCGCGCCACGCACACAAACGCTCATTAGACCATCAGATCTAAAGCCGATTTACAGAAATAACGGACGCGCTGGTCTCCCGTAACTGCAGAAACCAGGGGATGAAAAAATGACTGCGCCACAGCACGAAAGAAAGCCTCCCACTTGAATCTCTGCTATAGTGGCAAAGATAAATCCGAGCGTCTTTACGCATCTGTTGGCACGCTACCTCACATGGAATGACAGCTGGAGCTATGTGAGCTCCCGTCTTCTTCCTTTCCCGGTAAAATGTACCAAATGGTCCAAAATTAACACGAAAACGTTACTGTATAACACAGCAGCACACACAGTGATGGGTTAACAGTCTGCAGCCATACATCCCACCGCGAGAGGAGAACTGTATGTTCCATTGAACTTGGCTTCATTGCAGTTCCTCGTCTTGTCCACGATCAACGCCCTCGGACAAATGCGCGGTTCCTCCTTTCTCATGTCATGCAGCTGACATTACAGAGAGCTATTATTACATTATGCTACGGTATACATCTTCAAGCATGTCACTACAGTCGGTGGAGCCTGGATGTCTTTTTCTTTCCTTCTGCAAAGTCAGGGAAAAACGGCTTCTTCATCTTCACTCTCATCCTTTTTTTCCCCAACCAAGATATCAGTCGCTTCCTTTTGGATTCGGCTCTTTAATCTGACCCATTTCGAGTTAAAAAAAAACCAACAAAAAAAAACCCCAACAAAACATCCAACCTTGGTCACATGCGCCTCTCTCTCTCTTACTCGTTCTCATCTCTTGCGGGTTGTGTGATCCACTGTCTCCCAGATTAGAGCCCCCCTCTCTTCACATCCTAGACAATTGCGAGTCTCTGCTGATTGGGCTTCAGCGCAAGAGGATTACATGGGCGCATAATGACGTCATGGCCCGGGGCCCAAGCCATCCCCCATCCCAATCCCCCCCCCCCCCCCCCACCCCCCATTAAAACCAAATCCTCATCAGCCTCAAACGTCCTTGAAACCACCTACCTGACTTTCTGCAGCGCTAGATGCGTGCATGCGTCGGTGCAGCCTGTCTGTAATCAGCTTGGTCTAGCTGGCAACTTAATGCAATGGGGAGGAAGCAAATCTAAAACAGTTGCTTTTGTGCACAGGCACGTCTGATGTAGTTTTTCTTGCATAACTGAAAAAAAAAAGTTGAATAAAGTCTGACCCCATTTCCAAACGAACTAAAATAACGTTTTATTCCTATCCTTAAACCAAAGCTCATCACTTGTCCTCTCCATATAAACAATGCAGATTAAACCAGTGATCGGTCTGGGCTTGGAAAGGAAACCCATGACTGACCTGCTTTAAGTAAACATACAAAGGTATTATTCTCCAGCCTGTGACACCAAAGTATGGACAGAAATCATATGACTATGGAAAGTAGATGACAAGACAAAAATCTTGCATTACAGAGAAATAAATTGAAATACACATTAATAACGCAATTTTGATAAGCAATCATGTACAACGCAAAAGAGAAATTGTATAGGCTAAAGTAAAGTATCAATCATTTTAAATTTTCAGGTGTCACCTTCAAACTTCTTCCTAAAATGATGGTTATAATTAAACTCTTTGGAGATTTACTCATTTAATATTTCCATTTAAATTAAAAATGGTGGTATTTTGAATTATAAATATTAGGAATACTCTTCATTCATTTTTTTTTTAAGATTATGGTATAGTTATAAAAAAAAGCCGCTTTTTGTGTCAACTAAATATTAACCAATTATTCCTGTTTGACAGTGATAATCACGCACTGCTAAAATAAACAGAGGCGCTTAAAAGTGCGCGATATTTGCATTGCGTGTTTAAACACCGTTCCAATTAAAAGCCATCGATTTCTGTCCCGGAAGAAAATGTCAGTGGAGGTTGGAAATGTTTCTCTTGGTTTGCGTATAAACCTCCCACTGTTGGCTGAACAAAGAGACGGAGAGGAAGAACTGTCAACCCGGGTGTGATTCCTCTGCTCGCTGAAGCCATACAATCACAAATGTGATCTCTTCCTCTTTTAAACAAAAAACACGTATTAACTTTGCTTTAAAATATGCATATTGCCATATTTAAATCTCCATTGCAATCTGCATTTCAAAACGTCCCTTGCTGCGTTCAAGTGAATGCAAAAGCAATCCACTAATTCGAGGTTTGGCCTAAAAATCGGTTGGTCCCTGCTGCCAAAATAGATTGAACAATGTAATAACCCAGCACTGCATAGCAGCCAGCTGCAAAAAAAAAAAAAAAAAAAAAAAAAAAAAGTCTTCTTTACCAATAAAGTCTATAGGCCTACTGATAAATCCACACACCGGCTTGGATGCATGATCCTCGGTTCGGCATCTCACTCCTCTCCAACTCTGCGCCATAAGCTGCACCTGACTTCGCCTCCGTTCTGCAAACGAAGGCTTTCCGAAATATAAAAATGCATGCAAATGCACCCAAAAAAACATATAGACCTTAGTAAGCAGACGCTAAATGTCCTTCCACCTGCACGATGAGCCGGAGAGATATCGTGCAAGTGGGATGTAGTTTCAGATTTTCCTCCCTTCTTGCCTCTCCCTCTGCGCAGCAGAGCGGCCTCCTCATCTCAAGCTGAATGAAAGGGGAGTTGTCCCTGTGCATTACAATGACATTCAGG